TAAAGCCCTACATGGCATGGGGCCAGGTTACCTAAGGGACCGCCTCTTCCCCATGACTTCACTTTACTCTCCATCCAAGTGCCAATTGTATTTGGGGCATCTTTTTCCAAAAACCACCACTTTGGATTTAGTCTTATTAATTTTCAGAAAGTTGGAAGCTCAATAAGTGCCAAATCTCTCCATCAATCTTCTCAGGCCTAGTTGAGAGTGTGCCATGAAAACAATGTCATCTGCATACAAAAGGACATTGATGTGTCTGTTCAGGATCATGGCATGTGAACATCCGCAGAATGGAGAAATCCTGGAATGTCATTGACATAAAGATTAAACAACAATGGGGCCAGAATGCATTACACCTTTGTAAGTGGGTATGTTCTGTGTAAGAGAGCCACTGACTCCAGTACGGACTTTCAGGCATGTATTTGTGTAGGGGGCCTTTACCAGGTATAAAAGTCTAGTTTCCATATTTAGCTTAGCAAGCTTCTTCCATAAGATGTCTCTGTTTATGGAGTCAGATGCTACGCTAAGATCTATGAAAGATGTAAACGAATGTTTACCATCTATTGTATATTTGGTGATAAGATGGTGTAATACAAAGCAATTGTCTATTGTGGAGTGCCCAGATCTGAACCCAGCCTGTTCTTCCAGTAATATATTCTTCTCAATCGCCCAATCTTCTATTGTTCTCAAGAGATGTTCTGCATACATCTTAGCTGTTATATCAATAAGGCTTATGCTTCTGTAATGTAGAAGAAAGCCAGGACTTGCTCTCTCCCTTGTTCCAGTCATGGAATAATGGATTTAAGTTCCAGGAAGATAGATTCCAGTGGAAAGAAAAAACTTCCTGATATTTAAGAGAGGTTCAACTGTAGATGCTGAGCAGTTTACAAAAAGAAACAGAAAATACAACGGTACAAACACAAAAAAGAAGAGTCTGAAGAAACAACCCTAACTAAAAATCTAAACACTGCACACAGGAGTCAATACCTATTCTAAGGTAAACTTTGGAAATGTTGCTGCCAGTGGATCCAGAAAGCTAACATTTCACTGATCCCTTCTGTATAACTTCATGAGGTTCGGGCAGGGGGGGAGGGTTGATAGTTTCTAGTTTGTGTTAGCATATTGTCACCTTGAGAAGCACTGATGACATAGTATTCACAATGGCCTGAGGCTATTGTGAACAGGTGGACATTTTAAATGTTAAAGAAAGAAAAGTAAATAGAAGAATACCCACCCCAGCCATCTTGGGCAGTTGAGAAAGCAATTCCAACCCAACCTCCTAAGTCTTCTGATCTTCTAGACCAGTGTTTCTCAACCTTGGCAACTTTCAGATGTGTG